CCATATCTTAGTTTGTCTTTAGCACTGAGAAACAACATATATACAACAGAAAAAAACAACAAAAAACCTCTGCTAGACAACATGTCCAGATTTTGAGTTAAAAAATTGTGGTCACTAGAGCAAGAGTGAATTGGAAAACGGGGAGGTTTTTTGCTTGACATGATTTAAAACAGGGGGCCCACTGAGATTTATCAGTTAAGAAAAAATCAAAATTGGAAAAATGAAATTTAAGTACATATCTTTCTGACAAAGGGTTGGTAGTATCTTATATGGCGAAGAGCATAAATATAATAGCTTATTACAATAATTCAAGGTGTTGCTGAACCAGGGGGCAATAATTATTGCCCAAGCCAGAACAAGATGGAAATGGAATGGTCGTATAAACTCAAGGATAACAGCATGGATGTACATTCAAAGATTACACATAAGAGAAGTCTTTTCAAGCCAAATGACCCTGGGTGTCTAAAATAGAGCCATAATTAAGCAATAAGACGTGACAGGGAGCACATTTCTCAGTGATTATAGCATGCCTCAAGGGATAATTCACTAGGCCAAAGGTCCATATGAGGAATGAAATAATAACCTTGCAATGTATAGTATCAAGCTCATAGAGGAAAAAGGAGAAGGAAATGAATAAGGGGAGTTAGAAGAGTCATTTCATGAGCTGTTATTTCAGTTGTTGGGTAATACTGCCATGTGTACTTTACATGTAGCCATTAGCCATACCTAGCATCCTGAAACTATTTACACCAGAGCCCCCATCTAATTTAAAACCCTGCAGAATTGTCCATTTCTCATTTTCTTAACTGAGCAGAAACAAGCAGTTAAGTCACAGATTGAAAGTTCATAGCCATATATAAGGAATCCCAGTCTGGTAGAACTTACAGTTGCTTAGACCCGGATTTTATAACTGAAAAATAATTGAAGCAACCACAAGGTATTTTTATTATCTTGACTCATTTATCTCATGTACATTTCCCTCAGAAACTACCAATAGCCATGGCCCCAAGTATCACGTAGATCCAGAAATATGTCCAGCCTTCTAGTCTGAGCTTTCCCTTCCCTACTGCTGTGCTACTAGTGGGAGAGAGGGAGAACTCTAGAGCTAGTGACCAACTGAACCCCACGATATGACGGAGGCAGGCCTCGCCGCAGGATGAGAACTATTCCATCTTCAGTAGCCATAAGGTGGGGTAAACAGTTTCTAAACTGGCATGCCCTGAAAAGCCCAGCAGACAAAGGTAGGTATCTTATTGCCAGATGTCTCTCCATGTTTCTATGATTCTTATCACTTCAGAAGATAGCTACAAATCTGAACCAAAGTCAGAGGATAAGATTTTTTCTATGTATGAACCTCAGCATCCCCCTATGCCAGTAGATTTTGTCTCAGGCTATCCGCTGGACAAAATTCTAGGCAAGCAATCATTTATCTTACATAGCTTAGGCCATCCTTTTATAGGGTGGCCAGTACTCTCACTCTTTCACTCAAAATCTGTTCTTGAGGGAAAATCTGAATACAGGTCCTCCAAGATTCTTATGTTGAAATCTAAGCCCCATTGTGATGGTATTAGTAGGTAAGGCCTTCGGGAGGTGATTTGGTGATGAGGGTAGAGTCCTCATGAATGGTATTTGAGCCGTTGTAAGAGATGGCAGAGAAAGGGGAGAAGGGGATGACAGAGGATGAGGTGGTTGGATGGCATCACCAACTCAACAGACATGAGTTTGTGCAAGCTCCAGTAGTTGGTGATAGACAGGGAAGCCTGGCGTGCTGTAGTCCGTGTGGCTGCAAAGAGTCGGACACGACTGAGCAACTGAACTGAACTGAAGAGACAGCAGAAACATCTCTAATCCCTTGCACTATGTGTGGACACAGGAAATCATCTTTGAACCAGGAAGCAGGTCCTCACTAGACCTCAAATCTGCCAACACCTCGATCTTGGAGTTCCCAGACTCTGGAATTTGAGAAGTAAATTTCTATTGTTTATAAATTACCCCATCTATATACTATTCCGTTAGGTTTTCAGACATTTGGTCCTGTCCAAAGCTTCTATGAGCATTATTTGGTCCATGCCAAATGGTTTTGGATGGAACCAAATATCAAGGACCTTTTGGCATGAACCAAATGTCTTATGAACCAAATATCTTATGGGCATTCTGGACAGGACCAAATGTCCTGTAATTTTCTGTTATAGCAGCCCTAACAGACTAAGACAAAATTACTTACATCTTGGGGAAACTTTAAGTTGATAGGTTAGTTTCCCCCAGGGTGTCTGCATTTTAATGAATGGAATATTTTAAAGTAATGTACTTTAATTTGTGTAGTGTAAGTCTTAAGCCCCAGCTAAAGGAATTTCAAGCAGCAGAGAGCAGGTGTGAGAATAGTGCTGCTGCCTGGAGAGGACTTGAGGAAATTCTGAAATCAGACCCCACTATATGAGCTGAGGAATGAGTCCCCAAAGTCTTTATTGCCCATGCTGCAATAATCCTTAGATGAGGAAAATTACCCCAGTCTGTCCTCCCCCAGCTTCCTATTGCTAATGCAACCAAGGCTGTCATTCAGGCTACATATATCAATTATCTACATATATCAGCCAAAAGTTAGTTTCTTAAAATAGCAATTGCTTCTCTTTGCTCATGATTCTCTGTGTCAGTACTTTGGTCTAGGCTGTGGAGAGAAGTTTAAGCTATTGCTGGGGAACACTCATCTGGTTGCAGCATTTTGATGGCTTTCCTGGGGCTAGATAGCCTAAGAACGCCTCACTCACATTCTGGCTATTGGCAATGCCTAAACCCTGGGCTTTTTTTTCCCCTCTATTTAGCCTCCTATCCTCAAGAGGGATTGCTTGAAATTATACTCATCAAGGTCCCAGGGTTCCACGATAGCAAGAGTGGAAGCTGCAATACTTGTTGAGACCTATACTTAGTAGTCACACTCATCATATCTGCTGCATTCCACTGGTCAAAGCAAGTCACTAAATTAGCCGAGATTCAAGTGGTGGCGAAACTGACTCTACATCTTGAAGGGAGGAACAGAAAAGGTATGTTGCACAGGGTCAATCAGATAGGAATTGGAGGAACTGTTGTGACCATCTTTGCAAACAATGTAACACAGTCTGTTCCCCTCACCCTCCAACTACTATAATTTTCAATCATTCCACATGCAAAATGAACTCACCTCCTCCCCCAAACATCCTTTCCCATTCTGGTTTCAGGCATGGAGTTCAGGATCTTATAATTTGATCAAATGAAGGTATGAATGAATATGGGAAGACTGATATATTGAATAATATCCTCCAAACTAAGAAACTTTGAGACCAAGAAATGAAGCAGGTGACTCCACTAAGTGCAAATATGAAGTTTATTGTGGGTATCTTCCACACAGGCAGGATCAGGAGGATGATGATCCAGAGACATTCACAGCCTTCCTCCACACCACCAAAAAGGATACAGGGGAATTTAAAGGGGTCAAAGCCAAAAATAGAATCTGACTACTAGGGAGAAGTATGTCTGTGTTGGCAGGAACCAGGAGGTTTTCCTCCTCCCCAAGCCCTGGGGGTCTCATGACCACTAACCATCTGTGTTAGCAAAATGCATTCTTCCAGTTTTTGTATTAGATGAAGGCAAGAGTAAAAGTTGATAGAGAACTTATCTAACTTGGGTGCTTTCCTTTTGAGTTGGCTAAAGCTCAGTAATGCAGAAAGAGGAGAGGGCAGGACTGCAGGTCTAAGATGGAGCTGACAAAATGGAGTCAGTGTGGTTCAGCCACGCAGGTGAGGCTTCTTAGGTGTATCCCCCCAGCGTGGCTCCTCACAATCTAAAGACCTATAAACTAAAATGAAAAGTTACTTATCCTGACTACACATCAACGTACAATGGGGAAACAGGAAGGATAGCTTCAGGAGAAGGCAAGGGTGGGATGATTTGAGAGAATAGCATTGAAACATGTATGTTATCATATGTGAAACAGATCTCCAGTCCAGGTTCGATGCATGAGATGGGGTGCTTAGGGCTGGTGCACTGGGACGACCCAGAGGGATGGGATGGGGAGGGAGGTGGGAGGGGGGTTCAGGATGGGGAACACATGTACACCCATGGCTGATTCATGTCAATGTATGGCAAAACCACTATGATATTGTAAAGTAATTAGTCTCCAATTAAAAAAAGAAGAAGAAGAAGAAGAAGAACATGAGGCAAATAGAAGGCATTCTGAAACAAAAGGCAAACAGAAGCCTAGGATATGTTGTCAGGTCTCCCTCTTCTGGGACCAGGGAATGTAATGGGAGCCTAGTGCTACTCTCTGGGAGTGGCTCCCTGGTTCACATTCTCAGCTCCACACTTTGAGATCTCTTACATTTTCCGTAAGAAATGACCCATATTTGCAAATGAGTAGCTTTCTCGAGCCTGCTTCCTGTTCTTAAGGGTCCAGAAGTCTCTTTTCATTTTGAAAAGTCTTAGTCTCTTTTCGTTCTAACTGGTGGTGATTTTGTCAATTCAATTCTCTTAAACCTTTGTAGGTTTCTCTGAATCTTAGTGGTGATCACTTATAACTCCACAGTCACATTTACAATTATTTCTTATGAAAACCTCTTTGAGGTTTATAAAACCTCTTTTATATATGTTAGGGAGCCAACATAAGCCTCCCAATGCCTCTTAAGACCCAGTGCCTCCACTGAGAACTGAACTGTGTCCTTCTGAAATAAGTTATGTTGAAAATCTAACCTCCAGTGTAACTGTATTTGGAGACAGGTCTTATTAGGTGGTGAAAGTGAAAGTGAAGTCCCTCTGTCCTGTCCAACTCTTTCCAACCACGTGGACTGTAGCCCACCAGGCTCCTCTGTCCATGGGATTTCCCAGGCAAGAATACTGGAGTGGGTTGCCATTTCCTTCTCCAGGGGATCTTCCTGATGCAGGGATCAAACCTGGGTCTCCCACATTGCAGGCAGACACTTTAACCTCTGAGCCACCAGGGAAGCCCAAATGCAAACTCCAAAGAGAAACGCTTTCCCCGCCCCCGGTTTCGAACCGGGGACCTTCTGCGTGTGAGGCAAACGTGATAACCACTACACTACAGAAACTTATTAGGTGGTAGCTTAGGTTAAATGAGGTCATAAGGATGGGACCCTGATCTGATCAGAGACAACAGAAAGCCCTCATATTCTCACACTCTCTCTCCCTTCCTCTCCTCCACATGAGGACACAGCAGGAAGATGGCCATCTGCAAGCCAGGAAGAGAATGCTCACTAGAAATCATATCAGCTGGAACCTTGATCTTGGTATTCCAGCCTCCAGGGCTATAAGAAATACATTTTTAAAGTTTGAACCATCTAGCCTGTGGTATTTTGTTATGGCAACCCAAGCTGACTAATACACATTTTGACAGCAAGAAGTGGGATGCTGTTACAACAAATTCCATTCCAATAGCTCCCAAGCTCTTAACTCATTCCAGCATCTAAAGTCTAAATCCACTGTTATCTAAATATCATCTAAATCAGGTATGGCTTTTAAAACTAAGCATTTAAAAAGGATGAATCTCACTCTACATAAACATGACTCAATAAACAAGACTTTGAGGGAAAATAGTGACTTGAAACAATTGTGTTATTTGTTTTGACCCCATTCTGTGGGTCATCAATTTGGACAAGGATCAGAGGGCTAGTCCTTATGTTCTATACACAGAATCAGAAGCAAATAAAATATTAATGTTTTAAATGGATTCAATTTTAGGGATGGTTCTTTATGCAACAATAAACAATTAAGGAACTTCCCCAGTAGTCCAGAGGCTAAGATTCTGAGCTCCCAATGCAGGGGACCTGGGTTTGATCCTTGGTTAGGGAACTAGATCCTACATGCTGCAACCAAGTTTTCATGGTGCAACTGAAAAAAGATCCCACATGCCAGAACGAAGATCAAAGATCCCATGTGCCACAATGAAGACCCAGTGCAGCCAAATAAATAAATATTTTTATAACTAAATAAGTAATTGATATGGTGCAGTAGTAGACTGAATCAGGAATTCTTGCTTTTATATGTTGACTTGGTCACTAAGTTGTGTCTGGCTCTTGTGAACCCATGGACTGTAGTCCACCAGGATCTTATGTCCCTGCAATTTCCCAGGCAAGAATACTGGAGTGAGTTGCCATTTCCTTCTCCAGGGGATCTTCCCAACCCAGATATTAAACCCAGGTCTCCTGCATTGCAAGCAGATTCTTTATCACTGAGCCACCAGGGAAATCTTGCTTTTATATGAGGCAACAAAATACAAGTTGGCCATGAGGAAGGTCAGCATCCCTTAGGGTGATTAGTGTGCCAAATCTAAATGACGCCTAAACCACTAGATCATTTCCTTTGTTTGGGAAATCATGCAGTGCAGAGTGCAAAGAAAGAATTGTGGGTCAAGCTCAGATTGTTACCTGAAGGGAAGCTGAGCTACTTTTCCAGAGTTGACTTTACATGTTTCAGGGTCTGGTTGTTAGATGTCCAGGTTGGCATCCTCTAAGTTGTATATGGTGCCACTTGTCCTTCAAACTCAATCCATGTGGATTACATCTTCAGTATCCCTTGGACCAGACTGTGGAATTCTTCCCTGTCTGGCTCCCTCTTGACTGCTTCTATACCTTTCTCAGGACCTAAGAAAATATGAGGCTCAAAGTGTCTTTGCCACTCTAGGGCCGTGGAAGATTCTCTGAGGTGACCCATACTCTTTTGCTCTAGATGTTCCAGGTAGTGTCTCAGGTACAAAGCTGTGTAGAGGGGATCTTGGAAGTTTGCCATCATTTGGCTTGCAACATGGAAATAAGGCATAAGCCTCTTTGTTCTCAGAACCTCATGCTCAAGTCAGGGTTCAGCCTGACTGTGGAAGACGTAAGAATAGAGTGCAAGATTCCCTTTCCGGGACTCACCAGCATCTCGCCCTTTAGAAAAGCTTTAGAAAAGCTTGTCTCCCAGCCAGGGGAATTTTTATTTTACGTGGGCAGAAAAAAATTGGCTCATGTTGATCAAATATTCTTCCAAATCTTTTTTGTCTGAAGCCTGAAGCTCAGCTTTTTAAACTCAAAAGCCAAGCATTTGGCTCTTTTGTTCTCTGGTTCTGCTGTGACAACCCTCCCTTGAGGCAAGGAATGACTCACAGTCTAGCTGCCCCGGTGGGGGAGGGTCAAGGGTAACAGGAAATCACGGGGAAAAACACATTTGTTAATACATAAAAATATTATCCCGCTACACTAAGATTCCTATTCTCTCTCTCGTTCTTTGTTAAATGAAGAACCGGTCTTTCGTCTTTCTCCTTTCTTAGTCTTCTGCATTAGAGAGGGTTCTTTGGGATGTAAGTAATACAGATCAATCCATTCTTGCCCACTGGCTCCCTGAAAATGAAATGCAGGTGCTGGGAGGAATGGAGAAGAGCTGAAGACTGAGACAGAAATGTAATCACGCTCCACAAATGCACCAAGGACCTAGATTTCTATTATAAGCCATCTTTCTCTGTTTTCACATTGCCTCCGTTTACTCCATGGCTTTCTCTGGCCCCGAATCTGAATTCTTCCCTGCCACTGTGCTGAGACTGAAATCTTCTTGTTCTAATATATGAGTTCTAAGGAAACTGACTGATCAGTGTGGTCAATGATCAAGCAACAATAGCTGAGAGAGTGCTTGTAAGGAAGAACAAAATCTCATTTACGAAAAGACGGCCAAAGTGCCCACTTCCAATGGAAGAAAGGAAAATTCTTGAAAAAGAGGAGGTTGGACAGATTACTCTTCAGATGTCCAGTTTACTGCTCCCTGGGTGGAAGTGACTTCACCTTTATCTTGGCAGCTTATCTGTGTCTATCATGTAGTACCTACCAGACTGCTTATTTCATAGCCATTTAGGGGTATATCTAGCTTCTGTTTGGGGGCTTCCCAGGTGATGCAGTGGTAAAGAATCCACCTGCCAATGCAGGAGATGCTAGAGATTTGGGTTCGATGTCTGAGTTGGGAAGATCCACTGTAGTAGTAAATAGCAACCCACTCTAGTATTCTTGTCTGGAAAATCCCACGCATAGAGGAGCCTGGCGTGTTACAGTCCATGAGATCTCGACGAGTCGGACACAACTGAGTGCGCGCGCACGCGCGCGCGCACACACACACACACACACACACAGTCTCTCTCTCTTCTATTGGGACCAGCAACTGTGGGCAAGAATTGGTTTCTCTTCCCAACAAAGGCAAACACCGTGTCCTACAGAATATAGGATTTCAAAACATCCACTGAAGAATCAAATGAATCAGTGAATGGGAAAAAAGGAAAGAGTTAATTGAATCAATAAGCCCCCTCCTTCCCAAATCAATGTGTATTACAAGAGGAGAAATATAAGGCATTTACATGATAGACATAATTTTTTAAAAAAATCCAGATACCTTCTATTACATGCTACAATTTTCTTTGGGCAGGGAAAGAGTTAAGCGGTTTTGCACCGTGTTCATGGACTTCTGACATGATATAAAACACTACAATTTTGGCTTTTCCATTTTAGCTGACATAGTTTAAGTTGATGAATATTTTGATTTGTGCCAGTCTCAGGCAGTTTTAAATGCTATCCCTGCAGGAGTCAAGAAGTCCAGTCATAATCATAACAATATGCCTGTCAGTCAAAAGCACCGGAAGATTGTTTAGGTGCAAAGAAAGCGTTTTCCCCTGAAAGGAAACAGGGCAATTGAAATCACCTACTTTTCAAGGCATTGAAGTCAAAACTGTTACCAGCTTCACGGTGTGAAAATCCAGGTCTCGGCACCCCCTTGGTCAGACTCCAGTATGTCCTGGGGCTATCCAGCCAAAAACAAGTTACAGTCTAAAGTTGAGAAGAAATTAGACGAAAGGGAAAGCACAGCGATCAAGGTTGATTTCCGCATCATTATTTGCAGGTCACCATTTCAGCAGGGAGTATATAATGAATTCCCTTCCATCTCTGCAGTCAATGCACCTTGGGATAGATTTGCAGAGCCAACTAAATAGCTAAATCAGAGAATTCATGCAATTACACGAGATCTGGGCAGAAGAAAGTGATTTTTTTTTCCCTGAGCTGACCAAGCACATAATACTTGATAAAGCTGACCTAAAGTTTATACCATAGGAACTGTTTGCATCAGAGCAGGTAAAATTAAAACATCCACATAGTATTGGGTTCATTAGGAAAAGGGGAAAAGCCAGAGACCAGTGTGGGAGAAAGAAAGGGAGAAATGAACAGCCTGAAGAAAAGGATTTCAGAATTGGAGGCAGCCCAGAATTATTCAGATCTTTGGGTATGTTGATGTCAGGACCTTCTTTTTTCAAAGTTAGTGTGACCTTAGCCATTCCAGCTGCTCAACAAATTTGCTCAGCAACTTTGCCCTACCAGAGGAAAATTAAAAAGCAAATCTGATATGCCCCTTCTAATTTTATTGCATCCATAGCAGCTTTTACATGGAAATGAAGTGGTTAAATAAAAAGTTACTATAATAGAAAGAACACCTTTCACCCCCAAAGAATTCCATATACCCCATGCTGATATCAAAAGAATCTCCTCATGGGAAAGAGCAATGTGGAAAGCAGAGGGGAATGAAAATCTGGTGTTCAGAGTCCACTGGGAGCTTCAGACAAATATGAAACAATGACTTCATGTAGTAGATAAATTTCTCACATTCTTCAACCAGTTTTATTGGCTAAATACGCATGCATCCAGTTATATGAACACCAAGCCCTCTCAAGGAAGAATCTGAGTGGATATTAAAAAATATGTCCTGGATAGGAGTCTAATCATGGGCTAACCCTTTGTCCAGAAATTAACAAATGTTCCTATTAGTTGGTCATTGTTGAAGTCACCTAAAAAACTGTCTATGATTTCCCCCTATCTCACTGACAAAGAAATGACAACTTTGAAAAAGTAAAAAATCTTTTAGCAATAATGGAGCTAGAGGACATATACTGTGGCTCTGTCTCTTTAGCTTTGTTTCCAAACTTTTCCCAGTGAGACTCTTTCATTTCATTTAGGCCATTTCTACTCTTCTGAAACAAGGCCATGCACACATGTGCCTCTGTACCTTCATGTTCTCGGTTTCCCCT